ACACCACATTTTACTCCTGTTAGTCAACTGTTTCCGAAACCCATTAACTCGAAATTATCACATTTAGGTCTCTACTCCACACAAAAATTCACTCGTCATACACCTTTCTTACTAATTCATGCATTGTACAATGATTTAAACAACAACATATGATCTGCAACTCAAAACAATTCCCAAACACACATGCACTTCATTTTCGCGAACACACATGCACTTCATATTCTCAAACACGCTTAAAAAAATGAAATATTAAATACAAATTTATTGAAACCACAACAACTCACCTTCGATGGTTGGCACGACTGACACATTTCCGGTCATCATAAGGTGCTCCTCTTGGAGAGTACTCATATTCTTCCTTGTATTGCACTTCTTTCGCAGATTCGTGTACTTTCAGTCGACGGGTGAGGTGTAAGTGTAGAATAAATCTTAAAGATTCCTTATTTGAATTTAGTTAATTTTGGAATTGCAGTTATTGCCATTACAGGTCGACGGGTGTGGTGCGTATATTTAGCAGATTTCTAGGGAAGTGGAAGCCGGAAGACCGAATTCCCATAAATTGTACTTCCTAAAAGTACAATCGTACCCTTTCATCCCCATCTGTATGTTTTATTTTTAATTTGACATTTCATCTTCTGTGCACGTGTGCATTCAATTGTAGCATGGTCCCTACAATAATCCATCCGTCCATTTCCTTAGATAAACGTCTATGATGACTTCTCATTTCCTACAATAAGAGGCCTTCTCATTATAACCAATCCCTATATATATATATATAAGAGATCAAATACAAACCATGCTTAAAATACTAACCTACACACTCAATAATATGCATCACTTTGAACTTCAATATGCATTAAAAATAATGTAAAGATGCAGGATGTGATCACATACAAACTAGTCCTCTCATTCAAATCATCTTTACATTATTTGTATTGCACATTGAAGTTCGAAGTGTTTCATATTATTCAAGCCATAAAACAACACTTTCATATTTACGTTATTTGTATTGCATATTGAAATTCAAAGAGTGCATCTTTACATTATTTGTACTGCATATTGAAGTTCAAAATGTTGCATATTATTGAGTTTGTAGGTTAGTAAGTTAAGCATGGTTTGTATGTGATCTCACCCCTATGTATATATATATTATATATATAATATATATATATATATATATATATATATGTATGTATATATATATATATATATGGAAAAGATCATGTGAGAAGCCCCCCTTAGGCTGAGAAGCTGTGAAGTCTAACTTATAAACTCAAAACACAAACTTTTAAGCAATAAATCATAACTTATAGACCCCCTCCAAAAAAATTACGAAAATGCCACCGCGTCAAAATAACTCAAGAAACCTGGATTTTTTATTTTTTTTTGCAGAAAGTTCGTGTTTTTGAGGAGGTGTATAAGTTATGATTTTTTGGTTAAAAGTTCATGTTTTTTGCTTATAAGTTAGACTTCGCAGTTTCTCAGCCTAAGAGCATTTCTCATCTGATCCGCTCCCTGTATGTATATATAGGGTGCGGTTCCAGTGAGAACACTCACATTTAAACCAATGTGGTGCACAATTGAGCTATTTTGTTGCACATTTTCAATTTGCTCGGATTAAGTCATATTAAATACATAAACACGGTGACATTTTGGTAAATATTGTGAAAATGTGAAAATATGCAATATACAAGCTTCATTGTGCAACACGTTAGGGTAATGTGATGTTCTCTCGTTAAGCATCGTTCTCATTTGATCTTTATTCTATATATATATATATATGTGTGTGTGTGTGTGTGTATGTATATATGTATATATATGTAGGAAGTAGGAACTAGTTAACTACCACAATGTAGGAATGTAGAAATAGAAATTATAAATATTTATATAGTATTATTGTGTAATCAACAAAAATGTAGGAAGTAGGAACTACTTAACTACAACAATGTAGGAACTAGTTAACTACAAATGTATATAATTAAATATATATGTTAAATATGAAAGTGTAGGAGTATATATATACAATTATAATATAATATATTTAATAAGTAAGATTGAAAGAGTAAGAGTAGAAATGTAGAAATAGAAATTATAAATATTTATATAGTATTATTGTGTAATACTAAATAAGTATATAAATATAATTATAATATGAGAATATATGAATTATGAAAGATGAAAGTGTAAATGTGAATAGAGTAGAATTAGTGATTGAGAAATTGAAAATTGAGAGTAGTATGTGAGTAGAAGTAAAATAGTGTGAAAAAAATGTATAAAATGAGTAGGTATATATAGGAAAAAAATTTGGTAACCCCCACCCCCAATAGGAGTGGACTCGGGCAGGGCCAACTAGCCCGGAACCGGACCGGCCCGCTACTGTGCGGGCCCGGACCGTCCCGGTGAACCGGTTGGGGCCCGGTACGGGCCACCCGGCCCGGTGAGGTAGGCGGTTCGGGCCCGGGCCTGCTAGATAGTGAACCGGCCCGGCCGGTTCAGGCCAAATCCGGGCCAATTTATTTATTTTTCTTTTTTTTTTTGAATTTTTTTAAGTTTTTGGGTTGGGCTAGGTATGATGGGCCATTTGAGGTGGTATGGGGTGGTTTGGGGGTGATGGGGGAGGGTTGGGGGTTAATTAGGAAAAGCCAAAAAATAAATAAATTATATGAACCGAGGCCCGGACCGGACCCGGGGTTACCCGGACCGGTTCCGGGCCTCCCCTTTCATGAACCGAGGCCCAAACCGGGCCCGAACCGGAACCGGTCCACCCTTAACCCCCAAACCCCACCCCAACGGCTATAATGTCGTTACTAGCCGTTCCAAGCGGCTAGTTTGACCCCAACCCCAACCCCCTTATTTAATTAAAAGAAAAATAGTCGTTGCGACACAAACCAGGACCGGGACCACCCGGTCCGATCCCCATTTGACTCACCCGGGACCGAGTCCGAAACTACCCGGTCGGGCACCCGGTCCATGACCGGAACCGGAAAACCGGACCCGATCCGGTCCCGCACAGCAGCGGGCCCGGTTCCGATCCGGTCCCGCACAGCAACGGGCCCGGTTCCGATCCGGTCCGGAACCGCGGACCGGGTCCATGCCTAGAAACATCGCCTTACAATCCTTTTTCTTAATCTCTTTGTATGCGATTTGAGCTTCTTTTGATGCTTCGGTAATCGTAGGATATCCTTCTTCAACAATCTCACTAACTTCTTGATAGCCAAGAATTACCTTCACCTGGATCAACCATGTGTGCGCTAGTTCTTGCCATCGAGGAATCGGTGGTTTTGAAATCAAGTTGTTCATCGCCATGGATTTTCTTCGTTTCTAGAATCATTTCCTTCATTCTTGAGCCTCGCTCTGATACCAATTGTTAGAGGCTAATAACAAACTTAACAGAAATTCTAAGAGAGATTAATTGGCTCAGTCAACAAACTGGAACTTCTTATTCATAGACTTTAGGTATTTTTGGTATGATTCAACACAAATTATACATAAAAACAAAAGGGCAGCAACAATACATTTCGCAGACCATTCAAGAGAATTTTATCATACCAAAAATGAAAAGGGGGATGGATTTGAGAAACATAAAATAATTTAGTATAATGCATGATGCAGCTTTTCACTAAACCAAGTGAGCGGTTGCTCTTATTAGTATCAAAATTCATGATCTAGTACAACCAAAAACATGATGCGCTGTATACCAGCCAAGATTCAAGAATGAAGTTTGGCATGTTTCTCCTGAATACTTTTAAACCAAAAATTCTTAATACCAACATACATATAATTTAAGGAAAAAAAGTCCTCTTTAATTGTCAACAACCTCAATCAAGGTGCACTCGTAGTCGTCAGGTGCTTCAAACCCATGCAGATTCATCACAGTTGCAGCAACATTAGCAAGACCGCCAGTTGGGACATCTCGCCGGAATCTAACTCCTTTGCTCAGACCTGGCCCACCTATTGCTATAGGTACCTGAACAGATTAGTAGATAATGCACATCAGGATGTTTGTTCAAGCAAGGAGGGACGATTTCAGCAGTGGATCAGTCCCAAGCTTATACAAGAACCTCATTATGTTGAAAAGATATGTCAGGTAATGTATGCACTGCTTTCTATTATTGGCCGACACAAGCGATTGGGCAGATAAGCATGAAAAGTAGTAATGCTACCCCCTATCAAAGGTAAACCCATCTTTAGAAACCGTGGGAGTAAATTTCATATTTAATAATACTACACAAACATCATTTATAAGAACATCAGCTGGGTTCAGCTTACGTCAATGCTTGTTAAAATTGTCCAGGTGTTTGATCTTTGGCTTAGCAAAAAGCTTGTTAAAATTGTCCAGGTGTTTGAACTTTGGCTTAGCAGTGTTTATTGATTCAATTTAGCAACTCTTTACATCAAACTTTGTCCCTGTCTAGGTGGAAACAGGGCTATTAAGGTTGCATGTTAAATCATAAGATCGGATGATCTTATTTCTCGGAAGGGCCTGGGTGATCTGGGTCATAGGTATGATTGGGAATTTAGGTCAGAACATCACATTGACATGCGGCATCGAATGAACGACGGGGCACTGCTTCGATCTAAAAGGCGTGAGGTGAAATGAAGCGTTTTGTGTAAATTTACCTGAGGCGTGAGAAGCGCGCCTCACGGAACTTAACCATATAACTTTAGTAAAATATAATTATACTACTTCTACATGAACTCATTTTCCAAAAAATGATTACATCACATAAATACCTTAAGCCATTAAACAACCTTAATAAAACACCTTAAGAGAAACAAAATATTTATTCAAACAGTAGCAAGAAGCATATTAAATGCCAAACTACCTACCGAACAGTATGCATAACGAACTTAGCTACGAACAAACATTCAAGTTTCTCTAATAATAATGGAGTAAAATTCAAACAATATGCTACAATTGAACTATTGGAGGACTACTGCCAACTATTACTTATATATATTGGAGTAATAAACTGTTAATAGTAATTTTTAAACAATTAAAAGAATTGTTTTAATAAACTGTTATATAATCAATTGTTCATAATAATAAACTGTCACATATAACTGTTATATAATAATACACAGTTGATAGTAATTTTTTAACAATTTTTTATATACTTGTAATAAACTGTTAATATAAATTTTTAAACAATTAATAGTAAAAAATTTATTAAACTTTTATATAATAAAATGTTGATAATAATAAACTATCATATAATACATGGTAATAATATTTTTTATTAAACTGTTAAAAATGAAGATTTTTACATTCTGAGTGTAGAAACCATTTTTATTACCCCGTATCATTTAAAATTGATAAACTATCTGATTGAGATTAGGGTTTAGGGCAGATTATTATATGCTTATTTATTTAAACAACTTAAAGGTCACCTAATTGGATAATTCAAAATTGAAAGAGAAGAAAGAGAACAAGGGGTAATTAACATTAGTATGGAAAATCGACTTCCATCCTAAACTCCAAGGATAGAAAAGGAAGCCTGATGTCATATGTGTTGGTTTTTTATTTCAAATATAGCCTATGTGAGACAAATTCTTCAACATTGCCAACATTTTTGGGACATTAAGGAGTAGTTACTTACGGGTTCACAGGTGTGAGAAGTGAGGATCTGGATGTTTCCATTCTTGTCGAGAAGTGGCTCTCCCTTCTTGTTTCTCTTCACCATGTCTTCTGCATTTCCATGATCTGCCGTAACAACATAAATTCCCCCAACTTGTTCTATTGCATCAATTATCATCTGCATGCACACACCAGACACATATGCTCTCAAATCATTAATTAAAAAGAAATGAACAACACACTCTAAAATAAACATAAATAACATTACACAGCCATAACAGGCGTTGCAGAAATCATTAGAGCTATGATACTTGCACTTTCATAGTTGTAAAAATGAAAATACAATCTCTCAGTTGGGATAAAGTAACCAAAGTATATTTGCAAGTCTATCCTAAGGGCCCATTTGGATCATGGAGGGGAAGACTTGGTTTTACCTTGATATTCTTTTTATTTATAGTGAAATATTAACATAACATGTGACCATATAACATTTCCATAACTTTTTATTTGTTTTATTGAGCATTTTGTTTATCACAATCTAGACAATGACCAACAAAGCCATTTGCAATGCCATAATAAAAATCTAAAATCAAACAGACACTAAATATTCATACGATAAAAAAGCGAAGTTGAAAGGCGTGAAATCTATGAAGGTAGATTTTACCTTGACAGCTTGATCGGCAGACTTGCAAGCTTCAATAGTTGCTTTAATGTCACCGGTATGTCCAACCATGTCACCGTTTGGAATGTTAACACGTACCTATGAAATAGATCATCAGCGAACATAATACAGTTACACAGCTAAGGACATGGGTGTAATTTTCTGGTCCATATAAAACTCATTCTTCTGTTATGTGAAAATTTACCTACAGCTAGAGGACATGGTGGTAATTTTCTTGTCCACATACAACTCATTCTTCTGTTATGTGAAAATTTACCTACCTGATCAAACTTGCCGCTAAGGATAGCATCTCTAGCCCTTTCACCTATCTCTGTAGCCTTCATTTTTGGCTGGACATTGAATGTTATCCCCACATCACTTGGAATTTCAACATACTCCTCCATATCAGCATTAAAATATCCAGAACGGTTCCCATTCCAGAAAAAAGTGACATGTCCAAATTTCACAGTTTCACTGTCCACAAGTAAGGGCGTATAAGTAATAACGTCAAAATCATACAAAAAAGTAAAATTAACAAACAAGACGAGACAAAGAGAAACAATAAACCCAAAGTGTTCCCAGACGAACTATTTGAGAATTTACTTTTGTTGCGAATAGAGAGCTTTCATTTTATTTAATGTACTATTTAGAAAAAAGTGTCCCAACATAATTCAGCATATTACATTTAGTTAAACCAGCAAGTACATGTTAAACAAAGTTTACTAGAATACAAAAGTTGTACTTTGGTGAAACAAACGTACAAGAGGACTTGTTTGGGAAAAATATAGTAGAAAGGTGAAACCAGGTTTAACTGTTTAGCACCCTCTCCCCTGCATACTTACTTTACTCTGAAGCGCTTTTATTTAATATTTTACCAACTTCAAAACATGTTCTAGCTGTTTAAAAGCAAACTGCACAGATGTGTTTTAAAAAGCTCTGGCAAACACTCCTAATATTAATCTGCATGTTGGTCGCATTTACTTTATTTCTGTATCTTTATGTCTAGTGTCTACCACTCTTTTCATGTCACCACTTATGTTGCACGTTGTTACAAGTCGGTACCTTCTAATGACAATATGGCATATACCTAACTTCTGGAGTTACGCTAGATCTGGAATAACTTACCTGCAAGCAAAAGTACGAATACCATTGTGTACCAAGTATTCCCCAGAAGTTCTGTCAATTTCTGGAGGAGAAACAAGGTAATGGCTAGGAAGCTTCAACTCGCCATCATACTGTAGCATACCAGCATACCGGATTTTAGGAATCCGGACACGGTCGAATTTATCAAAGTTTTCATACTCAAGGGCCTTAGCTAACATAACCATACGATCTGCACGGAAGTTGAAGGTCACGACAGCATCACCATCTACAATGGGCCCAACGGGCTTTCCATTTTCATCCACAATGACAAATGCCTGTAAGTACTGATCATTGGCACCCGGAACCTCCCTAAGCTTCTTGATGGCTTCAAGACCATTCCTAAACTTGTTTGGAGCTTCACCTAGAACTTGGGCATCCCAACCTCGCTTTACAACATCCCAATCATTCTGCATAGCATGAAAGATTACTCAGTATAAACTTTCATTTTTAGAGTTAAAGATGGGCCTTGAGAGGTTTATAAATGTGAAGAAAAATAATAACTGCAGGCATAAAAATGGCCCGAGCCATTTTGGTAGTCTTCAACTCTTCATTTTAACTTATATGTCCACTGCTGCAACATTTTACATAAAACACTAACTAATGTGAATTTGATAGTTGAATGGTTTATTTTGTAGTAATGGAAAAAAGTATTGCACGGTTCTTATTTTGATATGGCTTAAACTGATACTGCTACATTTTAAAGTGCATTGTTTAGATTATTTTTTAAAAAATTTGTCTCTCAAATCAAGCAATTCAACTTATTCAGACAATTACCCTAAAAAGAACTTATTAAGACAAGATCAGCGACATTAGCACTTTAAGTCCCTCCCTTCATTTTAAACCTTACCAAGCAGGACCTTAGCAAAGAGGAAGCATAGCAATAATAGCTCGTAATTGGCGGGACACAAAAATACACATTTAACAAAATAGGAAGATAATGGAAACAGTAAAGGAAATCTTCAAGTACACTCACGTCATATCGATCCATCGTCACATACATGCGACCTCCACCTGATGCAACCTGAGCATCAATGCCCTTTTGTCGCAATTTTGCGAGATCATTTTCAAGGGTTTCCATGAACCCTACGCTTGAACCGTCAAGTACATCACGCCCATCCGTTAAGGCATGGACACGGATCTTTTTGGCACCACGATCAGCAGCACCGTTCACCAACAGCTGCATCCAAAATTTACTTACTCATTTTCAAATATCTAATATATGTCTTTCAATTCACAGGGGATATAAAAAAGAGGGAAGGTTGTAATGACAGTTAAGCAAAATTATTTTCATTTACAGCGACAACAATTCAATAAGGCATACTATTCATTGTTCATAGGCATACCAGCAATTGGTCAAGCCTGGAGTGGACACCTCCATCACTCAGTAGCCCAATAAAGTGCAAAGTTCCAGTTTGAAATCTTTCTTTAATGTAATTGAATCCTTCTCCATCATAAATTTTTCCAGAAGCAAGGGCCGAGTCAACAAGCTTTGCACTGCACAAGATTATCAGAATAAATAAATAAACACAAAAATAGACGAAAAATTGAAAGCAAACAAAACAATTCAGCATTTTTAGGCAACAATCTCAGGTTACATCCTCAATCATGTATAGCTAGAGTCCAGAGATAACTACAACTGCAGTAAAGTGCAGTAAAAGTAAGACCAAATTTTTAATCTTTATCTTTACCTTTGGTTTTAAACTTTATTATTATAATTGCTTTTAGGTTTTAACATGGTCAATATATAAATTCCGCATGCATACATAAAACATTAATAATGTATACACATATATTGAAAAATAGTCAGCTCAAGCGTAATAATAATAAAAATAAATGAACAGACCCTTGGGCAAAGATCCTTCCAGCACCGAGGGCATTGTGGCCAACCTCACTGTTGCCCATGTCATCTTGTGTGGGGAGACCCACTGCATGACCGTGTGCTGTGATCAACCTCCATGTATCCGGATGACCCTTCACATATGTACATAAAAAGGACCTTAAATTCTTGTCTTTTAAATATTAAACAGAATAATGAATGAAGGCAAACAAAAACAAAAATGAAAATTTGAAGAAAGAAACCTTAGAAGAAAAAATAAATACCTGTTTGAAAGAATCCATGGTGGGAGTTTCAGCAACGTGGATAGCGTTATACTCATTAGCTTTAGCCTCGCCCCACCCATCCAAAACAATCAACGCGATGGTTTTCCCTTTGGGGAGCTTGGGGTGGTCGTTCAATTTCCATGAAATTCCAGAGCTACCCATCTCTCGGATCTTCTTCGTTTTCTCCTAGATCTGATCTTTCTTCAATGCCAAAACAAAGGTCAATGAATACAAAACATCAGACCAAGTATTAAGAGGTTGCGGAAGAATCAACAAAATCGAAAGAATCGGAGCGGGGAATATACCTCGGGGAAACAGAAGTGCAACTAATTCTCCGTGCGAGAAACCCGTGGCCGAGCAGCAAAACAGCGAGAAATCAAGGGACGCTTGGGCTATTCGTTGGTGGTTGGATTGTAACACAAAAAGCAGTTATATCGTACACACTCTAGGTTGAGCACGTTAGGTCGGAGGCAAGGCCAAGGGAGACTTTTACTTAGGGTTGCCAAGGACTAATTTACCCTTTTCAATTCTTTAATTAAAATTAAAATTGTTTCATATGTCTATGGGCGAGGGGTGAGCACCTTTCGAAGACCCGACCAGAACTGGCTTGAACCGGAGTCGGATTGAAATAATTCTGGTCCAAGATCAGATCACATTGAATATTTCTGATTTTGACTTGACGAGTCGGTGTGAGCTAGACTTTACTACCTTTATTCTTTAGATGTTTGAAAAAAGAGAACCATAAAACTTTTATTATTAAATTCCAAGCACTAAAAAACTCTCCAGAACACCTTCTCGCTCATTCAAGTACCCAGAAAACCAAACAGTCCTCTCACTTTTTGACCAGATATAAAAAAATTGTTGAACATGCGAATAATTCGAAGTAACAGTCGATTTTAGAAGCCAAAATACTTCCTCCCACGGTGACAAAACCGTCAATGTTCACAAAACCCACCCAAAACACGTAATAATTATCCGAATAAAAAAGTGCGACATAACAATAAAAACAATAACAATAACCAAATATTAAAAGGGTCCACTACCATGTCAATCTCCCCCCACTCCACTTATGTCCAACAACATCCTTAACATTTCATTTAACGAGCCACCATCAGATAGCACGCCTCTCCCCCGTTTTTTTGAGGGGGCATGCACCACCTTCATTCCAGTACTAGAATCAAACCGCTCTTTTGGTCAAATTTTATTTCCTAGTCAGAGTGACTACCATGAACCCGCATTCTCTAATCTTTCTCCCTTGCATCTTATTTCACACAGCTCACCTCGTGCATCATGTTGTTCCCAACCAGCTCACGCATAGTTAGGGAAGGGATCGCTCCGGTCTGGGTTGGGTTTTGGCTAAACCCGGAAATTACCCGGAAGATCTCGGGTTATGAAAATTAGAGTTGGGTTTTTGTGAGCTCAGGTTCGGTCCGGATTCGAGTTGGGCCGGTGAACATGAAATCATCTCATTGTCCTTTTATATTTTAAAACCTATTTCCAATTAAATTTAACCAAAAACACAAACCGCAAATAATAACACATATATTAGTCTTCAAAATCACCAACAATTCAAATCCAAAGAAGATAATTATCTTAATATTTCGTTTAAAAAGCATATAAATAATATAGGTTTTCTAAAAATATTACGAAATAAAACTTATGGATAAAAATGTGACTAAATTTACTATAAATCTATTTCTATGATCATTACGGTAAAGAAATTGAACATATGTGTACTCACTAAAAGTTACTAGGTCATGTTTTCATCCAACATGATTATAATCATATATTCAAAATTATTTCTAAATTATATTCGAATATTATATTGGTTTTATATTAAAGCTAATTGTTTTGGGTTTTTATCGGTTCAGGTCGAGTTATAGATTTTAGGGCCCGTTTATGAGCTAGATTTTTTGGGTTCGGTCCGATTTTTTTATTCGAGCCAATTAAATAGAAAAAATCCGAATTGGGAACATCATTCAGGTCAGGCCAGAGTTCGGTTCAGTTTTTCCCGCCCCTATGCATAGTGCATATTCCTGACGATATTAGCCACATGTTACTTTATGATTGCACTCCGCCCTTGGAGGCTTTGAGCCATGGCTCAAAAGGGCTCACTTTCCCTTCCTCACTCTTTCTATCGGATGGGGACAATATTTTTCTTCATGATCACTAATTCCGCACAAGAAGCATAAGTTAGGAAGGTTCTCATAACGGATATTGATCCAGAAGCATAGTCTACCTAAGTAATTTTAATCCTTTTTAAGTGATTTTCCAATAGCCAGTCACCTTAATTTGCATGAAAGGATTCTAGGAAACAGAAAAGGGGGAATTTGACTTTACACCTCACTTTTTGAGTGATATTGAACGTTGCACCTCATTTTATAAAAACTTTGACTTTGCACTCCATCAAACTTAAAGGACTTTTAAGTGAAATGAGGTGTAAAATCAAAGTCTTTTGAAAATAAAGTGCAAAGTCTAATATTACCCAAAAAGTGAGGTGCAAAGTCAATCCACCCCCAAAAAATCTCATCCACTTTTAATTTATAAATATCATTAACCTACTTCCAATTCTTTCAACCGCATCTAAAGAAAAACAACCAATCAGTAAGCCATGAATTTCCTGGGTTTTGACCGGACCGGACAGGGATTGTCGAGTCATTGACAAGACCAAACAAGGATCGTTGGGTTGCTGATCGGACCGACCAGACATGGACCGCTAGGTCGTTGACCGGACCATACCGAGATAGGGACCTTCGGGTCCACCACTAGGCGTAAGTACGCAAATTAATTTCAGCAGCACAACAACATCCACGTTTTTCAAATTTGGAAAATCAGTAAAACTCACATTTTCAATTTTTTATAATTCTTTCTAACCTATTATAGTATGTGTTCTATCTTAAGGCCAACATCCTTGAACTGGAATGAGATTCGAACCCGTGACTTCCTCAATGAGAGTGTCACAGGGATGCCATCAGACCACAAGGTACTTGTCACTCACTTTTCCAATTAAGGGAAATAGAGACATGTCTATTTTTTTTGGAAAATGATTTGATAAACGCATTTTCATTTTTCTCTTTCTTTAGTTTTCTGAAAAATTGGAAAGTATCTCTGTTACTCCAAATGTTTCAGTAAAAAGGCCCTATGTTTTTTAGTTATAATTTAGCATATTCAGCTAATTCAATCAAAATACCATTTATTTCAGCCAATCAACCAACTCAGACACTTCAGTGTCATAAAAACGATATGAAACGACTACAAACACTTTATATAAGAAACAAAGTTTTAGATTAGAAGTAAAATACAATTACCAAAAAACGCTACTTTTTAAATAACATGTTCAATTTAGCATGTAAAAACATCACTATAATCAGGATATGGATGGACTCGGGTCCGGGCCGGGTCCGGGTCGGGCCTAGGCCCGGGCTGGCCGGCGGGTCAGAAATGGTGGACCCGGGACCGGCCCGGGTAACCATCGGGTCCGGTCCGGGTCCGGGTCCGGGCCGGGCCCATTGTATTTTTTTTTGTTTTCCTCTTCCTAATTAACACCCCTCCCACCCCCAACCCCCAAACCACCCCAAATGGCCCAAAATACCCAACCCAACCCGAAAATTTAAAAAAAATTGAAAACAAAAATAGTTTTTGGCCCGAACCGGGCCCAGGGCCGGCCGGGTCGGGCCTTGTTTTGGGTGACCCGAGCCCGGACCGGAAAACCCACGGGCCGGGCCTACCCGGACCGGTCACTGACCGGGCCACCGGGTCGGGCCGGGCCGGTTCCGGGTCGGGCCACCCGGCCCGAGTCCATCCATTTATCAGGAGCATATGCTAACATGTTGTTCATAAAAGCAGCTAAAACAGTAAAACTAACCAATACAATTATAACTTTTTAGCCATTAAAACATTTGGCTTGTTTGTTTCTGTGTGATATGGCGGATTATTTTACGGATCATGATGGAGTGATGAAGATTATTTTGTGAGATTATTTGACAAAATAATGCTGGATTGAAATATGAATCCAGATTATCTCAAGATTATTGTGCAGCTAGTATTAATCGGTGAGTGTGGGACCCATAAAAGATCTGATTTTTTGAGATGATGAATGGTGTCATTTTGAAAGTGTGAGATTATTTTGAAAAAATCTACGTGTAATCTACGTGTCATTGAAAATCCGTTTATTTAAGTACCATGAATGTGGATGCTCAAGTCACATTCTTGTTCTATCGGGCTTCAACGTCAATACTAGTACGACCTCCGTCCCACTAACCATGAGATAAGAGGTAATGACACACAAATCAATAAAAAGTGATTTATGTGGTTGATATTGAATTAACAAAGTAAAAATAAAGTAAGAATGATTTAGTGTCACACAAACTTTGCCAAATTTTGTATGAGACAATTATAGTGGGACGGACCGAAGTGATAAAATGGGATAATCTTAGAGGGACAAAGAGAATATTATATAGTATGGAGTAGTAATATACTCCGTAATTATCAATTGGTATGCAATGAATATATTTTATTTCAATAATAGTTTTTAGAAAGCCTCCAACAATAATTGGATAAAATTAAAGTATAAACTATTTGGAAATCATGCATTATATTTTGAAACTCTCACGGTTGAACAACAATATTGTTCCATTGTTTATTTAGTATCCGCAATTTACAATACTAGTGTGTACCCGTGCACCGCACGGTAAGATATGTGTTTAATTTTTTTCTTAAATTCATAGGGACCGTGGATTGTATATAATTCACCAAACGAAGTTTAAAAGAGAACTCAATTGACTATATACAGATGTCAAAATGAGTCCAACTCCATCGGGTTTGCTCGTTTTACGGTGGATTGCATTTTAATAACTTGATTAACTCACTGGTTTTGTGGGTCAACATGCACAGGTGGTTGACTATACAACTTGCAATTTGGTTAAAATATAAACATCTAGTTTTGACTTTCACTGTCTTAATTATTGTTTGTTTACTACGAAAATTATTTGTTATTGTGTACTTACTATTTAACAACAACCTTCATTGAACTACTATTTCTATAATAATCATTCGAATAAATTATTCCTGCATATTTTTTATTTTGTAGTTGAAAATAACTTTTTAATAATTAGTAGTCATTGTTTACAAATATATACTCAAAAATCTAATTATAACCATATTTTTGTACAATTAGTTCTTTTGATTTAATAATATTTTTTAATTAAACTTATCAACTATGGTGTGTTTAGTGTTCTAATTTCTTATATTTCCTATTATTACTACTTACACACAGAGGAATTTTTTAAGAGATTCAATAGGTTCTACTGAATAGATCTCTCGAATTATGGATCCCCAAGTTTTTAATAATTTATTAGTATTATATAGTAATATTATATATTAACATTAATCGGTAAAATACAGTAAATAGTAAAGAAAATACAGATATATCATTTTTTCATCGGTCTTTTTACTTCTCTTTTATTTAAACTGCTTAAGCAATGAAGCGTGTTGCTTTAAATCAAGTATAAAGTAAATT